TACTGACCGCGCCCGACGTTGCTTAACTTCGGTGATCGGACGAGAACCGGTGTATTCAACGTGGTATGGACGTTGGCGAACGTGAAGCTGTAATAGGGAAACAAAACATACTGCGTACCTGAAACATCAAATTGGCACGAGCCATGTAAGTAAGCAAATACGTTGAGAGATTAGTATTAGGTACCTATATCATTTCAATCGTACGATTAACTTATGATTGAAGAACGTATTATTAGTCAGGTGGAAGGTGAATAGGTAAACAGGAGATCACGCGGCACGACGACATCGAGTCGAGTGGAGTAAAGTAAGTACATAGTTCAAGCAATCTGAGCGGCGAGCGGCGAGCGGTGCGATGAACGTGCGGAAGAGCGTGCGGCGAGCTTTGCAATGAACGTGCGTAAGAGCGTGCGGTGAGCGGTAAGCGGCGACGGTGAAGCGCTAGCGAGGAGCCAGGTAGCAGCGCAGCGCCGCGCCGGCAAAGTCCGTTCCGTTCCGTTCCGTTCCGTCCGCGCGACGCCGAGCGGGGCCCGCAGGTGGACGGCGAGCAGCGCGCGCAGGTGCTGCGCCTGATCGAGAGCGGCAAGCGGCAGGGCGCGCGGCTGGTGGCGGGCGGCGAGCGCGCGGGCCACGTGGGCTACTTCGTGCAGCCGACCGTGTTCTGCGACGTGCGCGACCACATGGACATCGCGCGCCGAGAGATCTTCGGCCCGGTGCAGCAGATCATGAAGTTCTCGCAGATCGACGAGCTGCTGGAGCGCGCCAACGACACGCACTACGGCCTCGCCGCCGCCCTCTTCACCGGGGACTTGGACAAGGCCAACTATCTCATCCAGGTAGGTACCTACCTACCTACCTACCTACACACACCTATTTTTCAATTATATTACGAGTATAATATAGTAAAGTAATTTATAGTATCTTACTTACTTAATTATTAATGGTTACTGAATTTTGAACGTTTCTCTCTCAAACAGGGCCTGCGTGCCGGCACCGTTTGGGTGAACGACTACAACGTTTTCGGCAACCAAGTGCCATTCGGCGGCTACAAGCAGTCCGGCATCGGCCGTGAAAACGGACCCTACGGTATACACAATTACACCGAAGTGAAGAGTGTCATCGTAAAGATCACCGAAAAGAACTCGTAAATTCGCGTCGAATCCAGACCGAACCACTCTTCGGCCGGATCTATTCGATCCAAGCCCGCTGCCCATTATACCTCGTCGTCAGTCATCATATTTACCTACGTTATCGATGATGATTTAGTCTTCCATTTTAGAATAAGTTTATGTTTAGGTACATACTTTTGCACCTACTACTTGTTAAAGTTAAATTATAAGAATAATTTTGTAAAGAAACTTGGGTACCTCTACCTACGTTGCATAAAGAAAAATGTTTATCTCTAACGTTGTCTTCACTACGACTGTACGATATTTATACGACATAAGGATTAATTATGAAAACTGATCAATAAATATATTGTTTCTTAAAATTTCTATTCTTTAATTTTTTACTTTAAACCTATAGAACTTGAAACCTATAGATTGCAAGTCTGAGCTTGGCGTTCGGTACGTACCTACCGCTTCTTGCTGTAAATATAAAATCTATGGAACGTTTTCTTTGGCAAATATTATATTGAAAACTAATTGAATCGCGTGAAAATGGTGAAAAATAAATAACAATAAAAAAAATAGAATTTAACAGCAATAATTATTTTTATGTTTTCATTCGCTATTTAAAGCATTAGCGCCATCTACATTATATTATGGGCGCACGTACAATCTACCAAAGTTTACTTAGAATTTCCGTTAGATGCCGCCACATTGATGCTAAGCCGCCGCATTCTGAAAGAATAGAAGATTAGTAAGTAGAAAATGATAGGATAGCATAGGAAACAATAAGACAAAATGTAGAAGACATAGGTCTCAATAGTACTTTACCAGAGTACATATCATTCGCTGAAAATAAAATACCTAACAAAATAAATGTTATCGGTTATCGCATCCACTGCGAATGACTAAGACGATTCTTATGCTAGAGTCTAGATCTAGAGAATCGAGCCGATGGGACTTGAGGTCGCTGAAATGTCGCAAGTAACGTTTTCGTTGTGTCGTCTTGTTATTAAGTGATCACGTACGGTGGTGGTAGGAAGAGTCACGCCGCAGCTGTAATGAGACTGCAACAAGAATTGGTCGGCTCATCCGGGGAAGGGCCACGCTCTTACAGCAAGAACACCAGCGTATAACAGCATTATAACGCTGATGTCGCTGTGTGCTTCCTCGTATGGCCAGGGATTAAACTGGACACGCTTTTTCTGGCAATGAGGCATTCCGTAATATATACATAGGTGTTAGTCCACAAGCAATATGCATTTTGATTCATAACCGTGGAACGACACGTAAACTGTGTGTTAATTTGACGCGCGTACTTAGGTATAATATAAAGTACACCTACTAAGAGAAAAAGACAAGACTATACTATACTGTAAATTAATTTTATGTAGATTTATGATGCTGTTTATTTATAGAATTATTATATATCAATTTCTTTTAAATGTCAGTTTAGGTAATCCTCAAGTGGACGCGACGCGGCGCTCTTTCCGAACACTATCTTATCAGATTTAATGAAAAGATCGACAAATAAGTATGTATATTTAAAATCAATCTTAGGGGAAAGCTTATGGAGAAAACTTAAAAAATAATAAAAAGAAGTTTGGGAATAAAGAATAAGGAGGTGTGCAAAAAAGCCAACATCACGCGGTGTTCCCAGGCGGTCACCCATCCAAGTACTGACCGCGCCCGACGTTGCTTAACTTCGGTGATCGGACGAGAACCGGTGTATTCAACGTGGTATGGACGTTGGCGAATGTAATTACATTTTATGCGTATGGTAGGTACCTATAAGGTTTTTTTTTAAACTTTTAGACAATAAACTCTATTGCGTCACGGATAATTCATGCATTATCGAAAGGGATGTCTATTCATCAGAACCAGAGCCGATGGCCTCGCACCGACAATGATGCCGTACCGGCGTACGCATCACCGGTCTGCGATATTAGGGTACAACATTTTCCGACAGATTTCCTGCCGTCAGTCGATGGTCAAAGCTCCGTCACCTCCGCTCCGTCCGTCAGTCAAATCACTTAGGGCAGCAGTCTGCGTCGCGTGCAGTGCATTGCATGTAATAACGTAGGTTACATTGAGATTGGAGAAAAAGTTTGCCTGATCGCCATTCCTATTTATTTATTTATTGCCTAACAAAGGAAACAAAATAAAATAACATTCACGATTGCTTTTGAGATGAGTTGCGTTTTTTTTTTACGTGGTAGAGCCATACTGCAGCTATATTGTGGTTACAGCACGAATGGGTCGCGGCTCGTCCGGGCTAGAACCACGCTCTCAGAGAATACCAGCGTAAAATAGCGGCTTAATGCTGCTGTGTTTCGTATGGTGAGTGTAGAGAACCGGAGACCCTTTTTACTGAAAACGAGGAATTCTATCTCAGTCCTCAGGGGTGCCAACGCATCTGCATTTTGATTCTTAATTTATGATAAATGTAGCTGTCTATTGGCCACAGCAACCACTTACCATCAGGACCTGGTGGACTGTGTGCTCTTTTGTCACCCTAATATTATATATATATATATATATATATATATTTATTTATTTAAAAAAAATGTAGAGTCGATATATTAAACTACAATCGATGTGATGCTCAAAGTAAAATACCCATCATCAATGGAAACGACAAAAAGCCAACATCACGCGGTGTTCCCAGGCGGTCACCCATCCAAGTACTGACCGCGCCCGACGTTGCTTAACTTCGGTGATCGGACGAGAACCGGTGTATTCAACGTGGTATGGACGTTGGCGACAGAAGCTCTTTATTGTGCAGAGATATTCTAATCGCCTTCTACGATACTTATGTACATACGTACTCTTACGCTCGCACGTAAAACGTATTCTGACAACCAAATTTTTAACAATACCATACACAAGTATTTGATGATCCACCATCAACGTGCTGGACTGCTGGATGCGTTATGTAGATACATAAAATTATGTATGTAGGTACAATTGTGCAACATAATATGTACCTACTTGTAATAATTAACAAAATATAATTATTGATATCCTATTTAGAATCTGTGCGTCCAAAAAGCCATCAAGCCAAATACAGCACGAGGAAGATCGGATGGATAGATCTGATACTTAAGTTCCTATAGAGAGTCTCTTAATATGTAGGTTTAATGTACACAATAAAGTAATAATTTATTTATTTATATTACCTATTACTACTATGTATATATATATTATGTGCACGTCCCAGCCAGTAGAGTTCACTATCTATCTATTTATTAGTAAAAATTGAATAAATTAAAAAATAATGGCAAAAAGCCAACATCACGCGGTGTTCCCAGGCGGTCACCCATCCAAGTACTGACCGCGCCCGACGTTGCTTAACTTCGGTGATCGGACGAGAACCGGTGTATTCAACGTGGTATGGACGTTGGCGAACGTGAAGCTGTAATAGGGAAACAAAACATACTGCGTACCTGAAACATCAAATTGGCACGAGCCATGTAAGTAAGCAAATACGTTGAGAGATTAGTATTAGGTACCTATATCATTTCAATCGTACGATTAACTTATGATTGAAGAACGTATTATTAGTCAGGTGGAAGGTGAATAGGTAAACAGGAGATCACGCGGCACGACCACATCGAGTCGAGTGGAGTAAAGTAAGTACATAGTTCAAGCAATCTGAGCGGCGAGCGGCGAGCGGTGCGATGAACGTGCGGAAGAGCGTGCGGCGAGCTTTGCAATGAACGTGCGTAAGAGCGTGCGGTGAGCGGTAAGCGGCGACGGTGAAGCGCTAGCGAGGAGCCAGGTAGCAGCGCAGCGCCGCGCCGGCAAAGTCCGTTCCGTTCCGTTCCGTTCCGTCCGCGCGACGCCGAGCGGGGCCCGCAGGTGGACGGCGAGTAGCGCGCGCAGGTGCTGCGCCTGATCGAGAGCGGCAAGCGGCAGGGCGCGCGGCTGGTGGCGGGCGGCGAGCGCGCGGGCCACGTGGGCTACTTCGTGCAGCCGACCGTGTTCTGCGACGTGCGCGACCACATGGACATCGCGCGCCGAGAGATCTTCGGCCCGGTGCAGCAGATCATGAAGTTCTCGCAGATCGACGAGCTGCTGGAGCGCGCCAACGACACGCACTACGGCCTCGCCGCCGCCCTCTTCACCGGGGACTTGGACAAGGCCAACTATCTCATCCAGGTACGTACCTACCTACCTACCTACCTACACACACCTATTTTTCAATTATATTACGAGTATAATATAGTAAAGTAATTTATAGTATCTTACTTACTTAATTATTAATGGTTACTGAATTTTGAACGTTTCTCTCTCAAACAGGGCCTGCGTGCCGGCACCGTTTGGGTGAACGACTACAACGTTTTCGGCAACCAAGTGCCATTCGGCGGCTACAAGCAGTCCGGCATCGGCCGTGAAAACGGACCCTACGGTATACACAATTACACCGAAGTGAAGAGTGTCATCGTAAAGATCACCGAAAAGAACTCGTAAATTCGCGTCGAATCCAGACCGAACCACTCTTCGGCCGGATCTATTCGATCCAAGCCCGCTGCCCATTATACCTCGTCGTCAGTCATCATATTTACCTACGTTATCGATGATGATTTAGTCTTCCATTTTAGAATAAGTTTATGTTTAGGTACATACTTTTGCACCTACTACTTGTTAAAGTTAAATTATAAGAATAATTTTGTAAAGAAACTTGGGTACCTCTACCTACGTTGCATAAAGAAAAATGTTTATCTCTAACGTTGTCTTCACTACGACTGTACGATATTTATACGACATAAGGATTAATTATGAAAACTGATCAATAAATATATTGTTTCTTAAAATTTCTATTCTTTAATTTTTTACTTTAAACCTATAGAACTTGAAACCTATAGATTGCAAGTCTGAGCTTGGCGTTCGGTACGTACCTACCGCTTCTTGCTGTAAATATAAAATCTATGGAACGTTTTCTTTGGCAAATATTATATTGAAAACTAATTGAATCGCGTGAAAATGGTGAAAAATAAATAACAATAAAAAAAATAGAATTTAACAGCAATAATTATTTTTATGTTTTCATTCGCTATTTAAAGCATTAGCGCCATCTACATTATATTATGGGCGCACGTACAATCTACCAAAGTTTACTTAGAATTTCCGTTAGATGCCGCCACATTGATGCTAAGCCGCCGCATTCTGAAAGAATAGAAGATTAGTAAGTAGAAAATGATAGGATAGCATAGGAAACAATAAGACAAAATGTAGAAGACATAGGTCTCAATAGTACTTTACCAGAGTACATATCATTCGCTGAAAATAAAATACCTAACAAAATAAATGTTATCGGTTATCGCATCCACTGCGAATGACTAAGACGATTCTTATGCTAGAGTCTAGATCTAGAGAATCGAGCCGATGGGACTTGAGGTCGCTGAAATGTCGCAAGTAACGTTTTCGTTGTGTCGTCTTGTTATTAAGTGATCACGTACGGTGGTGGTAGGAAGAGTCACGCCGCAGCTGTAATGAGACTGCAACAAGAATTGGTCGGCTCATCCGGGGAAGGGCCACGCTCTTACAGCAAGAACACCAGCGTATAACAGCATTATAACGCTGATGTCGCTGTGTGCTTCCTCGTATGGCCAGGGATTAAACTGGACACGCTTTTTCTGGCAATGAGGCATTCGGTAATATATACATAGGTGTTAGTCCACAAGCAATATGCATTTTGATTCATAACCGTGGAACGACACGTAAACTGTGTGTTAATTTGACGCGCGTACTTAGGTATAATATAAAGTACACCTACTAAGAGAAAAAGACAAGACTATACTATACTGTAAATTAATTTTATGTAGATTTATGATGCTGTTTATTTATAGAATTATTATATATCAATTTCTTTTAAATGTCAGTTTAGGTAATCCTCAAGTGGACGCGACGCGGCGCTCTTTCCGAACACTATCTTATCAGATTTAATGAAAAGATCGACAAATAAGTATGTATATTTAAAATCAATCTTAGGGGAAAGCTTATGGAGAAAACTTAAAAAATAATAAAAAGAAGTTTGGGAATAAAGAATAAGGAGGTGTGCAAAAAAGCCAACATCACGCGGTGTTCCCAGGCGGTCACCCATCCAAGTACTGACCGCGCCCGACGTTGATTAACTTCGGTGATCGGACGAGAACCGGTGTATTCAACGTGGTATGGACGTTGGCGAATGTAATTACATTTTATGCGTATGGTAGGTACCTATAAGGTTTTTTTTTAAACTTTTAGACAATAAACTCTATTGCGTCACGGATAATTCATGCATTATCGAAAGGGATGTCTATTCATCAGAACCAGAGCCGATGGCCTCGCACCGACAATGATGCCGTACCGGCGTACGCATCACCGGTCTGCGATATTAGGGTACAACATTTTCCGACAGATTTCCTGCCGTCAGTCGATGGTCAAAGCTCCGTCACCTCCGCTCCGTCCGTCAGTCAAATCACTTAGGGCAGCAGTCTGCGTCGCGTGCAGTGCATTGCATGTAATAACGTAGGTTACATTGAGATTGGAGAAAAAGTTTGCCTGATCGCCATTCCTATTTATTTATTTATTGCCTAACAAAGGAAACAAAATAAAATAACATTCACGATTGCTTTTGAGATGAGTTGCGTTTTTTTTTTACGTGGTAGAGCCATACTGCAGCTATATTGTGGTTACAGCACGAATGGGTCGCGGCTCGTCCGGGCTAGAACCACGCTCTCAGAGAATACCAGCATAAAATAGCGGCTTAATGCTGCTGTGTTTCGTATGGTGAGTGTAGAGAACCGGAGACCCTTTTTACTGAAAACGAGGAATTCTATCTCAGTCCTCAGGGGTGCCAACGCATCTGCATTTTGATTCTTAATTTATGATAAATGTAGCTGTCTATTGGCCACAGCAACCACTTACCATCAGGACCTGGTGGACTGTGTGCTCTTTTGTCACCCTAATATTATATATATATATATATATATATATATATATATATATATATATATATATATATATATTTATTTATTTAAAAAAAATGTAGAGTCGATATATTAAACTACAATCGATGTGATGCTCAAAGTAAAATACCCATCATCAATGGAAACGACAAAAAGCCAACATCACGCGGTGTTCCCAGGCGGTCACCCATCCAAGTACTGACCGCGCCCGACGTTGCTTAACTTCGGTGATCGGACGAGAACCGGTGTATTCAACGTGGTATGGACGTTGGCGACAGAAGCTCTTTATTGTGCAGAGATATTCTAATCGCCTTCTACGATACTTATGTACATACGTACTCTTACGCTCGCACGTAAAACGTATTCTGACAACCAAATTTTTAACAATACCATACACAAGTATTTGATGATCCACCATCAACGTGCTGGACTGCTGGATGCGTTATGTAGATACATAAAATTATGTATGTAGGTACAATTGTGCAACATAATATGTACCTACTTGTAATAATTAACAAAATATAATTATTGATATCCTATTTAGAATCTGTGCGTCCAAAAAGCCATCAAGCCAAATACAGCACGAGGAAGATCGGATGGATAGATCTGATACTTAAGTTCCTATAGAGAGTCTCTTAATATGTAGGTTTAATGTACACAATAAAGTAATAATTTATTTATTTATATTACCTATTACTACTATGTATATATATATTATGTGCACGTCCCAGCCAGAAGTCACTATCTATCTATTTATTAGTAAAAATTGAATAAATTAAAAAATAATGGCAAAAAGCCAACATCACGCGGTGTTCCCAGGCGGTCACCCATCCAAGTACTGACCGCGCCCGACGTTGCTTAACTTCGGTGATCGGACGAGAACCGGTGTATTCAACGTGGTATGGACGTTGGCGAACGTGAAGCTGTAATAGGGAAACAAAACATACTGCGTACCTGAAACATCAAATTGGCACGAGCCATGTAAGTAAGCAAATACGTTGAGAGATTAGTATTAGGTACCTATATCATTTCAATCGTACGATTAACTTATGATTGAAGAACGTATTATTAGTCAGGTGGAAGGTGAATAGGTAAACAGGAGATCACGCGGCACGACGACATCGAGTCGAGTGGAGTAAAGTAAGTACATAGTTCAAGCAATCTGAGCGGCGAGCGGCGAGCGGTGCGATGAACGTGCGGAAGAGCGTGCGGCGAGCTTTGCAATGAACGTGCGTAAGAGCGTGCGGTGAGCGGTAAGCGGCGACGGTGAAGCGCTAGCGAGGAGCCAGGTAGCAGCGCAGCGCCGCGCCGGCAAAGTCCGTTCCGTTCCGTTCCGTTCCGTCCGCGCGACGCCGAGCGGGGCCCGCAGGTGGACGGCGAGCAGCGCGCGCAGGTGCTGCGCCTGATCGAGAGCGGCAAGCGGCAGGGCGCGCGGCTGGTGGCGGGCGGCGAGCGCGCGGGCCACGTGGGCTACTTCGTGCAGCCGACCGTGTTCTGCGACGTGCGCGACCACATGGACATCGCGCGCCGAGAGATCTTCGGCCCGGTGCAGCAGATCATGAAGTTCTCGCAGATCGACGAGCTGCTGGAGCGCGCCAACGACACGCACTACGGCCTCGCCGCCGCCCTCTTCACCGGGGACTTGGACAAGGCCAACTATCTCATCCAGGTACGTACCTACCTACCTACCTACCTACACACACCTATTTTTCAATTATATTACGAGTATAATATAGTAAAGTAATTTATAGTATCTTACTTACTTAATTATTAATGGTTACTGAATTTTGAACGTTTCTCTCTCAAACAGGGCCTGCGTGCCGGCACCGTTTGGGTGAACGACTACAACGTTTTCGGCAACCAAGTGCCATTCGGCGGCTACAAGCAGTCCGGCATCGGCCGTGAAAACGGACCCTACGGTATACACAATTACACCGAAGTGAAGAGTGTCATCGTAAAGATCACCGAAAAGAACTCGTAAATTCGCGTCGAATCCAGACCGAACCACTCTTCGGCCGGATCTATTCGATCCAAGCCCGCTGCCCATTATACCTCGTCGTCAGTCATCATATTTACCTACGTTATCGATGATGATTTAGTCTTCCATTTTAGAATAAGTTTATGTTTAGGTACATACTTTTGCACCTACTACTTGTTAAAGTTAAATTATAAGAATAATTTTGTAAAGAAACTTGGGTACCTCTACCTACGTTGCATAAAGAAAAATGTTTATCTCTAACGTTGTCTTCACTACGACTGTACGATATTTATACGACATAAGGATTAATTATGAAAACTGATCAATAAATATATTGTTTCTTAAAATTTCTATTCTTTAATTTTTTACTTTAAACCTATAGAACTTGAAACCTATAGATTGCAAGTCTGAGCTTGGCGTTCGGTACGTACCTACCGCTTCTTGCTGTAAATATAAAATCTATGGAACGTTTTCTTTGGCAAATATTATATTGAAAACTAATTGAATCGCGTGAAAATGGTGAAAAATAAATAACAATAAAA